GGATTGAACTCTGACCCTTGTGCTTGCAAGGCAGGTGGCAGAACCACTGAGCCAAATCCCTGGCCCAGAAATTCTATTTTTTAAGTTTCACAAATTTACTGAAACTCCAAGCAACTTATTAAAAATATAGCATTTTATTAGGGAGCTTTCCATGTTTAATTTCAAACTGCAGTGATATTTCTTAAGGTATTCAAGGTACTAAATTTCTTTTTATTCCATTTATTTTAAAAGTCTTTTTGGGGGGAGGGTTTTTTGTTTGGTTTGGTTTTGGGTTTTTTTTTGGTTTTGGTTTGAGACAGGGTCTCACTATGTAGTTGAGACTGAACTGGAACTCACTATGTAGCCCAAGTTGGTCTCGAACTCACAGGGATCGTCCTGCCTCAGCCTCCCGAGTGCTGGGATTACAGGTGTGCGCCACCACACCCAGCTTATTTTAAAAGTCTTAATCATCTTTAATTAAGAACCAATAATATTCAAATAGTTTTTGAGGACTTACTGACAAAGAGATCTTCAGATAACATAAAAATAATTTTTTAAAAATTCAGTCACTGCATTAAAGTAAATTTGTGATTTAAAACAAACAACAAACAAACAAAACTAAATTTCAGGAATCCTAAACCCAATAGGTAGGTATTCTGTACAATAGGAAAGAAAAAGCAAACATAAAAATTATATCTTTATTTATAGACATATATTACTGCTGAGAGATGAACAGATTCAAGAGTTTAAATAGTTTGAGTTAACTTGCTAAGCTCATATTTCAGGCACAAATTGTATCATTAAAAAACTTAACGATGGCCTGCCTTGCAAGTGCAAGGACCTGAGTTCAATCCCCGGTACCAAAAAAAAAAAAGAAAACAAAACAAAAAACTTAAAACTTTGGTCTTTAAACCTTTGTCTTAGCAAAATCATATATAAAATAACATGACATCCGATATTAATACCCAGATCTGGTACATCATAATAAGAAAAATTTAACCTAACACTTAGAATTGTTAGTTTTTATACCTATTATCTTAAAGTTAGTCTCTGAGTAAAACACGCTCACTACTAAGCAACAGCTATGGAAAGAAATTTCAAATAACTTTCCTGAATAACTTGTCACTATTACCAGTCAAATAATCTATAATAAGATTCATTTCAAGGTTGTTCCAGGGTGAGAAGCTACAGCTAGTAACTATAATCATGCACCATTATTCCATGTCCAAATCCATTATCAAACATATATCCACTACCCTTCAAAATCTGGATTCGAATCCATCAACTAATCTCCGGGTCTACATGAAAAATACTGAACTAAACTCTCTCTTACTCATAAATATTTGAACATAATTCTGTCACTACTTTGCTTCTTTCTTCCTATTCTATCACCTTTTTACTCTTCTCATTATGCAGCTTTTTACCTCCACACAGACTGAAAAAATTAGTGTGATTGCAAAAAGCTAATAATTACTTATCACGATCAAGTTCATTCAAAAGTGTTTATTTTTTTCCAGGTTCAAATATCAATTCTACTTCATTAAGAGTAATCATCATAACCAGATGGTTTTAATTATGTGCCCACACGTACAGAGCAATGCACTAGTTTCAAAACAGTTTAAACATAATAGATATTTCCCTTGTAAAAACCATGTACTTGCCTTGTGCCTGCATTTAAGTACAACTCCATAGGCACCTATAATAAAAAAGAAGTAAACAATGAAGCTCATGCACACAAATTACAATGCTTAAGAATCAAAGCTGGGCTACATTTACATGGCTTATCAGTACATAATAATGACACACCAAATTACAGTATTCTAGAGGAGATAGTGCAATAATGAGCCACATACAAGTAGAGCATGGATATATTTTTAAAACCTTTTAAAGGTTTTAATTTTTAAAGAAAATTCACTTGAGATATATTGTAAAGGCTTAAACATTTTTTGAGACAATACTGGATCATAAGAACTTTGTAAGTAAATGAAAATTAACTGGAAGGGTTCTAGGAAACTTAGAACTTAAAAGCTAATTAATTCCTAAGAGTAAGCTTAAGCATAGAGCCTACTTAAATATGCTATCTGTCCTAGAAGTCACTTAAACCCTCTTCTAGAATAATGAAATATCCCTTCTGCCTGGCAAAATAGTATAGCTCAGGTCTGGACCTGTAGCTTAGTGGTAGAATGCTTCCCTAGCATTCTTGAGGCCCTGGGTTCAATCCCCAACACCATACATGCATTGTACAGAGCTCAGCCTTTCAATTAACAACTACTAGGAGTTGCTACCTTTTTGCCATGAAAGAATCAGTTTAAGTGCACAGGCCACACAACTCCCCTTCATTCGGCATATTTTGACAAGATTCATTCCTACCTTTTGGGTTATCTTATTATCTAGGCAATAAACTTACTTTCCTAGAGCAGAACCAAGAGGCATACCTTAACAGCAAGGTACCCAGGAAACTGAAGTTAAAGTTATAATGTGAAAAACCTGATTAACAGATTCAAAATATATGATGATGGAGCTCTGAAGACACTAAGAATACTGGTATTAGCAGACAGGCAAAACCTGTATGCAACTATATAAGGGGATCTTAGAGATGAAACTGAGAAATCTGTCTACAACAGTCCTAAAAGTTTCCTTCACTTTGGTGGAGATGAATGAATATTATCATAGTTAAGATGGAACCAGCCATGAGAACCCTGAAATTAACTCTACAGTCACCAATAAGTATCCAATCCTCCAATCCAATCACCCAATCCAGAAAAACTGCATATGAGGTGAAAATGCACTCTCTATGCTACAGGAATGTAGAGTTTGCTTTATAGATTTTAATATACTTCATTACTTCATATATAGATTTTTTTCTAAAAACATCTGAAGTGATTTACAAAGAAAAATTATACAATCTATCTATGTATGATGATCCTGATTATAATTTAACACTCTAATTTATATAGGAATATGGCACTTTTGGCTAATGTGAGCCAATACCTGAGAAGATGATCAACTATGGGTATATGAGTAAATCAAGATCCAGAAAAATTTAGGCTCAGAATTTGGAAAATTCCAATCTTGCTGCACCCTATGTGCTGACTTTCTACAGTCAAAAGCTTTACAGCCTATCTACAATTGCAATACTTTTGATAAATAAAATTTTAAAAGCCAGCTATTATAAAACATTAGGTAACAGATTCAAAATGAATTTTATTTACATAATTAATACCAATGAAAAAATGGAAAAGGAGTAGATTAGTGAAGGAAGAGGACTTATTCTTTTCATGTGGTATGAAGGTTACAGTAGATTGTCAACTTGATTAGCTTGGAAGCTATCCCAAGGATTGACAGAGCACAATTCTGCATGTATGGGTCATAGAGGTGTGACCTGGGGGTCTGTATATGTTCCTGGCCCTTCATCTCTGGCACTTCTATCCTGCTTGGCCTCCTGGCCATCACTAACTAAGCAGTTGTGCTCTACCATGTCTTTCCACAATGATGTTTCTGCCTTGGAGTCAGGTGACCATGACTGCATCCTCTGAAACTGTAAGACAAATAAACCATTCTTCCCTTTAAATTGCAGGTGCTGTATATTTGTTACCAGCAACAGGAAAGCTGACTAGTCCATATGGTTTCAATGTCAAACATTGAAAGAAGCACGTTAATGATTAGACTCTACTTGTTTCCATTTATTTGAAAAAGATTTACCAAATTAATACTAAAACCTTAAAGAGCTTTGCTCATATAAGTTTTTAAAACTTCGTTTGAAATTCAAAATTTGGAAAATACAAAACTTTTGTAACACATGCTTTAAAGATATAAATGCAAATAAACTATCATTACAATGACTTATCTCCTGTTAACAAAATCATTTAACAAGATTTCCATAACTTATCTTTAAGTCAAGAGCAAAATACTAAGCCAAAAAAATCAGGAAGAAATGATGAGTTTTCTAGAAGTCATCTTATGAAAAATGAATTACCATACTTTATCAAATCAATAATATCATTGGTTATAAGAATTATTTTATGTACTATTATGTACAGCCAATTAAGCCATGGCAGATCCTGATTTTGGAGATGCTAAAATATGACCAAATTCTGTGCCTAAAAATTTATAAAATGAGGTTTGTCATGCTCTATAAAATAGATGCTATTATAGCAAGTAAAATTTGACATATACAAATTTCAAGTTTTTCAAAATGAACTTAGTTGATATAAAATAAACCATAACTAACAAAGTAGTGATACTGTACTAAAGAAATCATGATTACTAATGATAATAATGAAAGGCAGTCTTAAGAAATCCTTGATTTATTAAACTTTTAATGGTTTTAAATTATTACTGACTTTAAAATGGAATGTAAGACTCAAGGAGTTTAAGAGTATTTTATTTTTAATTTTATACTCAAGATGAATATCTGAATTGATATAGGCTAAACTAACAGAATCTGAATTGGTAAATTTTGGGGTAGTAGGTATAATTGTACCCTGCTTAAAAATTCAAGAAATGTAAAAATTCCAACTTACCTTCACCTACAACCCCAAGGATCTCAAATTTATTCATCACATTACCAATGTTAGGAATCTTCATGAAGACAAACTCCTCTTTTGATGTAAGCCACAAAACATGGCACCAAAAAAGGAACTTCCAAGAAGTTATGTAGTAAGTAGAAGAAAAATGTCCAAAGGAAGAAATTCTCAATGGTTGGCAGGAATTTTCAAATACTCCTTTTAACACTGAAATATTAAATGAGTCCCTGAAAGAATAAACACAATGAAAATCCATTAGTTTTATATTGCAGTACTCTAACATCCTATCTTATTTTTTAGTACCATTTTTAAAGCACCATGCTTCACATGCTGAGAAAAAGAAGAAACAACAATAAGAGAGAAGAACCCAAACTGGAAGGAACTCACAGCACTTGAAATGAATATCATAATCACAATGAAAGAGATCAAGGAGAAAGAATTAACCTCAGACAACCTTTGAAAACAGTACTTTTAACTACCAATTTTTTCAAACTAAAATCAAAAAGAAAAAATAAACAAATATTGTACTCTACCACTTAGACATCTGCATTTCCACAGTGTTATGACACTTCTCTATCTGTATGCTAGAAATGAACAAATTAAGTAAATATATTGTGGATAATGAGGCCTTGATTTCTTATTCTCATAAAAAGGAGTTACAAATATGAGTAGGAGAAAAGCTTGAAGTTAACAATCTAAGTTTAGCTTTCAGTACCTAAAGCAGTAAAAACTGATGTACTATAAATGATTACACACTCACATACATATATTCCCTCAGTGTGTCTAGAAGCAATGACACACTCCCAGCCATGAGCACAGCTGGTGCTCCAAAAAAAAAAGGACCCAGGCCGGGCATGGTGGCTCACGCCTGTAATCCCAGCACACGGGAGGCTGAGGCAGGAGGATCGCTGTGAGTTCGAGACCAGCCTAGGCTACCTAGTGAGTTCCAGGTCAGTCTTAACTATATAGTGAGACCCTGTCTCAAAAAACAAAAAACAAAAAACAAACAAACAAAAAAAAAAGGACCCAGGTCTCTTGGAGAAATGGCTGATTCCAAGGCTAAGGCAGGAAAGGCATAACATGACCCTAGGCATATTTTTTGGTACTGTCAGAAAGTAAGCAAATGCCCAAAGAATGGTGGGGATGTGTCAGATGTACCCAAAAATCAACTTTAAATGACTTCCACTAGTCAAATAACTAATATTGGAGCAGCAAAATAAATAAGGATATTAACAGATTATAATGTGGAAGAAAAAAATAAAATTTCTCAAGTCCTTACTGACATAAAAAAAGAGAGAAAGGAAAGCTCTTTTGTAAAGAGTGTTATCCAAATAATAGATGTAGTGATAGAATTTTTTTAAATCTTCATTTGGCAATTGCCCTGGTAATAATTATTTTAGGCAGGTATCATTACTATGCGCTAAAACAAGTAGTTCAAAGTTTGATGGAAAACAGGACATTATCTCATCTCAAAATATCTCCCCACAAGATACCTATTAATTACAAAGGGAAAAACAATAATTTCATTGTGAAGAATCCTACCAGACACAACCTTAATTAAGTGATCAAAGTTAATATCATTAATAATGGAACAAACCAATATTATATGCCTACTGCTAGGATATACCATATCTTCACTTTTCTGGTATTTCTGTCAGCAATGTAAAACCTGAATCTAACCACAATAAGTAACAGTTAAGACGGTGCTAAGAGATATTCTGCTAAGTTACTGGTCTGTATTCTTTCAAAAATGTTGAGTAACTGCTCTAGATTTAAAAAAAAAACAAAACTAAGAGATATGCTGAATAAATACAATGTATAAACCTAGATTAGAACCTATAAAAGATAACTGAGAAAATGTAAATGTCTAGAAATTAAATAATAGTATTATATGTATAATAATGTTCTGGTTTTGATAATAGTACTGTGGATATAAATAACAATGCTCTTGTTTTCAAGAACTAGTACCAGAAATTTTTAGAGATAATGGGATATCATGTTTGCAATTTAAACTATTCAGAAAAAAATACATATGTGGGGGGGGGACAATAGTGAAAGAATGATAAAGTAAAAACAGTAAAATAGTTAACATTTGGAAAATCTGAGTTGGCCATGGCAGCACATGCCTTTAAAACCAGCACTCAAGAGGCTGAGGCAGGAGGATCATTTTAAGTCCGAGGCTAGCCTGGGCCACACAATGACTTCAAGGACAGCCTGAACTACATACATTTGAGACCCTGTCTCAAAAAATAACAACAACAATAAAAAAGAAAATCTGGATCAGGGCTATAAGAAATATGAAATTCTTTGTATTATTTTTGTAATTTTTCTCTAAATCTGAAATATTTTAAAAAGTAAGTTATTTATTTTTCTTTTTAAGACAAAATCTGTTGTCCAGACTGGCTTCAAATTGGCCATTCTCCTGCCTCAGCTTCTCAAGTAAATGGATTACTGGCATGTATCATTGTGCCTGACAATAAATTCTTTTAATTAATTAAAAGATCTATCTTACTGCTACAAAGAGTAACAGTGGTACCAACATAAAATGTTGGTTTTTAAAAAAAGAAATACATATAAACAAAGAAATGTTGCTCGTTGCCTATGAAATATGAAACTTTTAGTAAATAAGCAGACTGTATGTGATGTGGGTAAGTACTGATAAGATGTGCCCTTTCAAACAGGCATGGAAATATAAATGGAAACAATCATTCTAAAGAACAACACATCCATAATTAAATGGTTTTGAAATGTTCATATTCTGATCAAGGTATCTAACAAAACTACAACAAACATTCTCAAATGTGAAATATTAGACACAGTCTCTAAAATTAAGAACATGGCTAAGCATGGTGGCGCATGCCTATAATCCCAGGTACTCAGGAGGCTGAGGCAGGAAGATTGCAAGTTTGAGGTAAGCCTGGGCAACTTTATGATATCCTGTCTCAAAATTTAAAAAAAAGAACTAGGAGTATAACTGATTGATAAGAGTATTTGTTTAGCATGTGTCAGCCCCCAAATTCAATCCCCAGTACCAGAAAAAAAAAAACTTTTAAGAACAAAACAAGGAATTCTACTGTTATTAATTAACATTATTATTAAACATTTTGGTGTGTTCTAGCCATCATAGTAAAAAAAATGTAAACAAATAAAATATAGTAGATCAGAAAGAGGAATACTAAGCAGAACTTGCAGATATTATTGTCTGCTTAGAAAACCCAATTGAATTTATAAAGTATTAGAATAGTAAGTGTTCAACAAAATATCTGAATATAAGCTTAATATACAAATATCAATTACATTTGTAAACATCAAAGAAACAATGCTATTTTTAAATATCACATTTAAAATAACAGTAAGAAGGATTTAACATGAAAAAAGATACTGAAAAGCTCTAGTCAAGTATATATAATTTTATTCAGAGGTATTAAAGAAGACCTAAATAAATCAGATTATCCAAATTTTAAGGCTAGGATGCTTCAGTACTATAATGATGTCATTTCTTTTCACATTGATCCATGTAATCAATGCATTCTATTCAAAGTCCTAATTTGTTTTTCTGAGCGTTTAAGACAAGTTGATTTTAAAATTATCTATGGAAGAACAGAGTTTTAAGTATAAGCAACACCCTCTTCCTATAAGGAGAAAAGTATACGAAATAAAAATTGAGAATAAGAAAAGAAACAACACTTGGCCTTGAGAGGAGGACCTGGCAGACTGCCCTGAAGAATATGTTGGAAATTAAGGTACTCAGAAAAATTAGAAATTAAGACAGAGTGGTTTGGGCACTGGAGGTAGACAAATCAGCCAGTAGAACAGATGTGAAAGCCCACAATAAACCATACTGCAACATTCCTATAACTTGTTACAATCTTGACAGTAGTCAGAGTAATGTTTTATGCTAAGTCAGATCATGTCACTTCTCACTTAAAACCCTCTAAGGCCTCCCACTCTGAGGAAAAGCCAAAATCCACCTAAACCATAGGCCTGGGTCTCCCCTGCTCTGATACCTTCTCCTAGCCTCCCCCTTAGCTTCCTTTACTCCAAACACATCGACCTCCTTTCACTACATTTATTCCACAAAACTTTAGTTTAGTGGAATAATTTTTTAAATAATCTGAAAGTTAGAGTAGATAATGTCACAATTTGAGAACAAATAATTCCTGACTGCCTCCCATGTTTCAAGGACTGGGTAAAGAGATGTGCAAGAAAGTGTTGAACAAGACAAACCAAGGTCCTTGATCTCATCAAACTTTGCATTTTGTTGAGAGAAAAAAAAAATAAAAGATCATCGTCAGATACACTGGTACATGTTATGAAGGAGGAATAAAGACTGATTACTCAAACCAAGAGGGCTTCTCTAAAACAGGTGACATTTGAGACTGAATGACAAGAAGGAGTTGGGCATTTGAAGAACCACATCAGTCATATTCCAGTGCTTCAGAGTACTTCTGAGCATGAATCATTCTTTCATTTTCTATGGCTGGTTTGGAAGAACACCCAGGAAACATTTAAATATTCTATTCTCTGCTAATAATGGTATGGCTCATTTCAAAGGAAACGAGATAAAAATCAAAGCATTCCTACTAACAAGACCCAGCACCCAAAAAGTTCTGTATATAAATACATATAAAGAACATTTGGTCCTACCTTATCTGCATAGCAATCAAAATATAGCAATGTAAACTGAGAGTCAGAATTTAAACATGCAAGTGAATACATAACATAGGTGTCCAGAATGGTCTTTTAATCACCAGTATTCACACTGAGAAAAAAAATTTTTATGCTGCAATTTTATATGAATAACGCTGATTAATCTTTATAAGAAAAAAATAAAACAGTATAAAAACTGACACATTTTAGCTTCTGGCAATGGCAAATTACATAACTTGGATGAAATGTCCCCTTGAGGACAAATACAAATGCTGGAGAAAACACTTCTTAGAAACAACTTAAAAGTTCCAAACACTTAACAAGACTGTGAAGAATTACCTGGCTAAAATCAGGCAGAAGAATAGAACTCAGAGAGGGAACACAATGTACCCCAAGCTGTTTTATCTCTTGGTATTTGAAGATCTAAAAACATAAAAAGAAAAGAAAAAACAGGCTGCTCTTGAAACCTTTACAGTTCCAGGAGCACAAAATCAAAGCCAAGGGTGTTTCAAAAGGAGAAAGTTTGTTAAAAAGAATTAAGACGTATTATGTACATGTACCAACTCAAAATTAAAGT